CCTCGTTGCGGGCGGGGGTGGGGGGGGGCGGTAAGCACCTCCCGATTGGCCGGGGGGGTGGAGTCCCATCCACAGCGTGTGGGGGGGCATAGTCCACAGCATAATTGGCGGGGAGGGTTTCCCATCGACCATCCACAACGTGAAGGGGGAGGTCCCATCCACACCAACACCGCTGCTCTGCATGTGTTCCTGCGTGTGTTCCTGCATGTGTTCCTGGTTTTGTTCCTGTGTGTGTTCCTGGTTTTGTTCCTGTGTGTGTTCCTGCATGTGTTCCTGCGTGTGTTCCTGCATGTGTTCCTGCGTGTGTTCCTGCATGTGTTTCTGGTTTTGTTCCTGCGTGTGTTCCTGCGTGTTGCTAGAACGCCCTTGACACTCACAGCATTTTGCTTTTACGGCAGGACTTTGGGACGGTGGATGAAGTGCTGGACAGTATCCTCAGTCACCTCCTCACCCTGCACGAGGTAGCACCAGTGCCGTTAACCGACTTCAGTCAGCACTTTAAAAGACTTAAATTCACTTTTTCTTTTTCTTTTTCATTTCCAAAGGCAAATAAATGTAAAAATACATTAATTACTAAGACAGATTTGACATCAGTTTACATCTTAAAGTTAGTCTCCTGGAAAATTTATTTCCGCTTTTCAATTTGTGGGTTGCGATGCCTTCTTTTTACCACTAGGTGGGAGTCTAGCCCAACATCCGTGGCAGTGCATTACACAAACTATAATAAAAAAAATGGGGCCTTCGTGTTGTACCACAAAAGGACTCCTCTATGGGAAATGCCGGCTCTGGGCCGCCGCCAAGTGCTGTACGGCTTGTAAGGAAACACTTTTTCACTCAGGGAAAGAATGATGCCCTAAAACAAAACAGAGCTAAGCCGATTGCCGCAGGAAGGGTCTTTTCTTTCAAGTTTATTTATAATTTGTGGCCTTACACAGTTACACAGAGGCACTGTATTTGAATAAACACATGCTTAAGTATTTTCCCTTCGTCGTTAATGTAAATTGTCTCTATGAAAACAAAATGAAAAATATTTGGTTCTGATTCAATTGTCAAACATACTAACACTCTTATTTAAATATGAATTCAAGTTTTTAATTAAGTACTTTAAATAAAAGGTTCTCAGTCTGTACTGAGTCCCTGAATGGAAACTACTTGTTCATTTTATGTGTAACTCGACGCTTTGGTTATGAAGCTGTGATTCGTAAGTCTATTGCAATTAAAACCATCCGTACGATGGAAAGGCCTCTGCATTCAGGCGTACAAAAGACACCAAGGGGCACTAAGATGGAAACACGCGGCTCGTCCCGTTTCTACCGCAGCTGCCAGCCGGTTTGATCAGACCGATCCATGTTTTTCGTTTTTTTAATTAATCGGTTATTAAGCTGACGGCTCCGTATTCGTCCCCCCCGTCACAGGAGGATAACTTAATGGATGTGCTGCAGCTGCTGGTGGCTCTCATGGCAGAACACCCTGCCCACATGGTCCCGGCCTTCCAGCGGCAGAGCGGAATCCGGTACGGCTGACGTTGGACCCGACCCGACCCGACCGGCGGCTTGCGACAAGCTACCAAGATGCCGAAGTCGGCGCTGTAAATCCAGCAGCTGGCCTGTCCACCCCTGCTGTGCTCGTGCGGCCCGACTTAGCTCCCGCAGCGCGAAAGGGGAACCCGATCCTGATGTAGTAACTAATGGGAGCCCCCTGCGGAGACATAAGCCGCTGGGCAGGAATGCTGGGGGGGGGGGGCAGGTCTCCGGCCTGACACGGGGGGTTATTTTTTTTTAAAAACTGTGCAAACTGACAGTTAATACAGGTCACTTTTACTGTCTGTCTATGAGAAGTTGATTAATAGGTTTTTATCACACTGCAGTTTATTAACGACTCGCATAATGCACAGAAACATTTAAGCCAGCAAATATGTATCGGAATTTGCAGTTTTGTTTCTGAGTTATTGTACGGGATGACATTTTATTTCATGTCTCCCGTTTTCAGAGTGGTGTATAAGCTGCTCGCGTCCGACAGCGAGGCCGTCCGCGTACAGGCCCTCAAAGCGCTCAGATACTTCCTGCAGAATGTGCACCATAAGTAAGTCCCTCGGCGCGGGTGGTGATGAAGCTACTGACAGCAGCTTCTTCGCTTCCACCCGAATCGGGGAAATTACAGCCTTTGCACAGCTGAGACTGACTGCCGGGATGCTGGCTGGACTCGTGGACGGCGGTCTGGACTCGTGGACGGTGGTCTGGACTCGTGGACGGCGGTCTGCGGGCGTCACCAGAGTCGGCGGAAAATCATTTGCATGCATCATAATAATAACAATAATAATTACATATTGTTTATTGTATTATAGAATATGATATAACGTTATAATAAGTAAAAATACCATAGAAAATGTATGTAAATAGTAATATTTATTATTATTATTATTATTATTATTATTATTATTATTATTTTATTATTGTTGTTGTTGTGGATGGTTCACTGCCTTGATAGAGTATATGCTTTTTAAAAATACACGTCATTGTACGGTTGCAGACCTCTGCTATAAGCATGGCAGACAGGAATAGCTCTCCTCTGGAACTGAGTGATGGTTCTTCGGTTTGTGAGCCTCCATCAGTATTTCCGCTGTTTGCTGTGGCTGAGCATGGTGACCACCCCCCCCCCCCCCCAAGGCTGTAAGGCCGCTATACCGGCTAAGCGGGGAGCCATGCGTGGACACGCCTGTGCTGTGCTTGCAGTAGGAAGGCAAAGGTGATGGCCGCTCACAACCTCTTCTCACTGCTGTCGCAGCGACTGATGCTGCACCCAGACCGCGTGACCATGACCACGTACAACGCCCTCTATGAGGTATTTATGTGGATCAGAAAAGTATCACGTCTCTGCAGTTCACCTCCTCACCTCCTGCCGCGTCCGCAGATCCTGACGGAGCAGATCCGCACGCAGCATCCGGACCCCGACTCCTCCGTGAGGATCGTGAACCCGCGTGAGAGTTCCTCGCCCCCCCCTGAGTTCAGGTGAAGGCCATTGGCATCCGGGGAGCCTCCTGCTCACGGCCTGCTGTCCCCACAGAGGTCCTGAAGGTCGTCACTGAGCTGCTGGACGGGTCGCCGGCGTGCCCCGCTGCCGCTGAGGTGCGCCAGGTCTTCCTGTCCGACATGATCAGGCTGTTTGGTAGCAGCTGTGAGAACCGGAGGTGAGGGGGGGGGGGTTATTGGGCTGGTGCAGGGGGGGGTCGCTTTAACATCAGGACTGACCCAGACACCCCTGTCCACCTCCAGGAGTCTCCTGCAGTGCTCCCTCTGGCAGAAATGGCTGCTGTCCCTCTGCCGCGTCCAGCCCGAGAACGACGAGGAGCAGAAGATCTCTGAGATGGTCTACACCGTCTTCCGCATCATGCTGGGCCACGCCATCAAGCACGAGTGGGGGGGCTGGCAGGTGTGGGTGGACACCCTGTCCATCACCCACACCAAGGTCAGCCACCCAGCTCCCAGTATACCCATTTAACTTGAGCTCTCAGCTGTGGTTATTTAAAAGCTTTTCTCTTTATTCTGTTGTTAACCCTTTATTACATTCCTTGTTCTGGGCCAGTGAAGTAACTGCATTAGTGTCAGACTGTGGTCTGGGACCCACCCAGCATGCTACCAAGCGCAGTGTTCTGTGCCACTGACCAGCAGGGGGCAGCGCAGCTCTTCCGGAACATTATCTGGGGAGTTCAGCCGTCCGTCCCCCCCCCTACCCCCACGATCTCCAGAACAAACATCACTGAAGCCCACATTCAAGTTGAACTTCATTCTACCGTAGTAAAGAAAACAGCAGAGTACGGCCGTGTTAAGCAGGCTGTGGGTAATGCAATCAGTCGCTCATCCTCCGAGGTCCGCGGCTTAGACTGCCGCTTCCGAGCTGCCAGGTGGCTTGGAGGGAGAGCTTGTTACACGTCTGTGCTTGGCTCTGACCCAGCATCCGCTCAAATCAGGCCTCAAAATACCAGCGTACCATCAAAAAGCACATAATGTAGCCACAGATACCCCCGGATCGAGCGAGAATGGAAATGTCATGTGTTACAGGGCCTGCGTTTCCCAGCATGGGTTTGAAGTTACTGTAATTACTGCAGTAGCTGAGCACGGCAGTTATAGCGGCATTACTGTACGGCACAGATAATTACACACATGTGCGGCATCTCAGACCTCCTGTGCTGTGACTTCATTCTGTAAACATCCAATAGCTCCTATTTTAAAAAGTGTAATTGCTCCCTTTTATCCGCCTGGAAGCAGCTCTTTGGGAGTCACGCACAACTTGGCAGTTACAGGAGAAAGACAATCCTTGCTGGGTTAGTTATCCCAGTACCCACGTGTCATTCTGCAGTAAATGGGCTGGACCTGCCCGGGTCACTCTGCTCCAGCTCTGTGCTGTGGCCTGCGTG